AGGCATCATGCCAGTCGTCATCCTCGTTCACTGTGGCTTCGGGAATGGCGGCTGGCAGCATTGAGAGCACCGGCCAACCAGCGCGGGCGCTGCCACTGCTGTATGGGCTTGGCAGCCGCATTGCCATGTGGGACACCAGTGCCCCACAAGATGGAGGGACGGGCTCATTGTTCAGCGGGTGCGACACCAGTGCCCCCTCCTGCAATGAAAGGCCAAAGAATATCCTGTGACAGCATCCATGAGTTGAGATGTACAGAGCACAACGCAGAAAGAAAAACGAATCATACTACAACTTATGCAGTACAATTTGTTTTCGACACTTAACTGCAAGAAATAAATGCGAAACAAGTGATGTCATACCAGTGCTGTTTCTTGATATGCATGGAAAATGCTAGAGTAGCTTAATGTGATCATCGACAACAGTCATATTGTAGACGCAACTTTTCAAATCAATAATGTATACTTTACCCATATTCAATTTGTGCCAGCTTAATCATGCCAGTACAATGCGCTGGTTAACCTAGCAAATAAATGACAATGGTTGCACACTAACATGGACACCCGAAAAAAGGCATCTGTCAACAACTGGACTCCAGCATGTCTCATGTTTACATGATGGCATTTCTTCAGAGGTTAAAATTAAGAAATGAGAGCTGGTAGTCAATTAAACCTGCACAAGATTTTTTTTTTCTTCAAAAGATTAGCACACAAGGAGATGAGGTGCTAGGTCCAATTGACATAGTGGAAACTCCTACTTAGCGTAACTTCTACGTGCACTAATGTCAATTTTGTGCGTCGCGTTTTTTTTTTTTTTATACGTTTAGGTTGCCTCTCTAATCTCAAGAAAGGGGCCGGAGGCTAAGGTAGTGTGGCGCAACCAGAATGTTCGCAGCGTAATTTTCGCTTGGATATAGCACAACACGCAAAGTAAGTTGTCGAAGTCGGCACAAGAATCACCAAAGATAGCGCCAATTCACCGTCACTGCCCACCTACGGCCTCGACAGTAACGTGCTTGACTAGCTGCAGGTGGCCACAGCAAAGTCCCTTCCAAAGTTAATTAGTACACACGTCCTGTCATGTGATTTTGCGAACCCGTTGCGTTATTCTGCCCAAATATAAAAATTGCTTACACACCTGTTGCGTGGATGCCCCGATTCTTCTCGAAGTCTGTTTTCTTCCACTTGGGTTTACCGTTGTCCCAACACTCGTGGGCGGACATGCGGCTGGCACTTATACTTGGTGCAGACTCTTCTACGCGTCAATTTTAGCTTCTTTCGGGGAGGTGTTAGTAGAACGACGAAGAAGCTCCCCTCCTTCGTGGAACCACTCGCCCCTTCTTGTCACCTTCGTTGAACGACATCGTTGTTGGGCAAGGCACTCTAGTAGGACTCTGAAGAAAGAGGAAGGGTGAAAATGCTCGTTCTAGGCGGTGACAGCGAAGCAGATAAGCGGTGAGACGAGGTGAGACGGCGAAGAACGGGCGAGACGCAGAGGCGAACGGCGGTAGCGAGCTACAGCTGCCTCTACGACGCAAAAGCTGGAGAGCAGCCGCCACCGTTGCCAGACTGGAGAACGCTTGTGGCTGTTTGTCCGAAAACCGGCCGCAACGCATAGAACATGTGCGCTGCGAAGCAGAAATCTTGCAGACTCCCAATTCAATGTTAGTAAAATGTGTCCCTTCAAATAAAATGAACTAATATGTTCATAATTCACACCACAATATTGTTTTCAACTTCGTTTTTTACTACAACCTCGTAACCAGACGCCTTTCACGTCTCCTCGAGTTTCCTCGAGTGGAGGAAGTATTCTCGAGGAGCTCCTCAGCCGAGGAAACGCCGAGGCGCGTCTGCGAAGCCCGATGGCTCCTCGAGTGGAGGCGAGCTGCTTTCCTCCACTCCAGTGAGTCGAGGTGGAGTGTCGAGTCGAGGCCCGTTTAAGAATACGGCCGTCAGTTTCGCTTGCTCCCTCTTTTAAATCTAGGCTCTCTAAAACAGGATAGATAGACGGAGGAATCGATGCATAGAGGCAGTTAGACGGTGACTTGCGCCACCTAACCAGATGTTTTTCTTCTTACTTCAGATTATATTGTTTAAGCCCGTTTACTCAGATTTAACAGCTATTTGTTTATTATATAAAATAAAATCCCGGGTGCCCTTTTTCTCCCTTAAAATAGAGACCAAATATCGCAATACGCCCCTTTTCTGAAATATAAATATATAAAAAAAAGGACATGTCGCGGTGTTAGGTCGTGCTTTTAACGAGTAAAGAAGGCACGCATGGCTGTAACTGTGGGTTATTGTGACGCTTAGGGTAGAGAGATTGTTTGTGCCATAAGATTGGATCTTTAGTGCCCAATGTCCATCAACAGTTGCTTTTCTTTTTTTTCACCAGGATTTTTATACATTTCAGCTTTTGTTCCGTACGAGATGCATATTTTGTACCAGGCGCATACTCTGCACATATACTACTCTCATTCACAGCACACTTTGAAACATTCCTACTAATAAAGTCACTATTCAATATTCGATTCAATATTTGGCTTTTTTTTCTTAATTTTATTCGGTATTCGGTTCGATAACTACTATTCGGTATTCACACACCCCTACTTAAAAGACGTCCCGCACACGGCTGAAAGAAAATATTTCTTTTTTTATTCCAGATGAATTAATGGGATGCCAAGACAGCACCCTAAAATTGTCTCACCTCACAATCTAATTGAATCCAAAGTGCCCGCGTTGTGCAGTGTGACATGACATGTTCGTGAGGGATGTCGGGGGGTCAGAAGCCGGAAATCTTTTTCTTCAACGACTATTACAGTGTTGCGAAGTGAATGGAACAAAACTTTGACTGCTAGGATTGCACTCAAAGTAGAAATTATCGAACATAAGTTTAAAAAAAGAAGCATGCGAGGTCTTGGGGAGCATTGCACGAGGAGTAGAAAAACAGCCCATTTGATTTGGACTACTCTCAACATCGTCCTGATCCATTCCTTCCAACATCTTTGAGAAATAACACAGGTCAGTGCAGGCATTTTGATTCAGATTCCTATTTTTGGTTTTGAGAAATATCTTGAAACCGTGTGGTTAAAAACAAATTTTATTAGTGTCTTGACCCATTTATGCAGCTGGCTTTGGTTGCTTTTGTATTCTTTTTGGTGTTGAAGATCAACTCTGTCAGCTCGACAACATATTGTCACCGTCCTGTAAATGCCTGTCACGCAGTGAACGCTCAAAGTGATATGAAAGGCACTGGGTGCCAGGTCAGGCAGAATTTAATTGCCAAAATCAGCGTCATGTGTCGGCCTTCTGCACTGAATTATTTGAGGCATTGCCTTGGAGCAAACACATTCTTTTGGTCTGCTCTTTACCGTGATGATGATTTCCTGTAACGTCGTCAAGAGGTTCAAGTACTATTTCCTGGTGACTGTTTGGCCCTTATGGACACAATTTATCAGGGGCACACCAGAGCAGTCCCAGAAAACGACCATCATTTGCTTCCCTCAAGATAACTGCATCTTCACTTTTTTGTGGTGGTGATGAACCGACGTGCTTTCATCGTAATGGTACCCTCTGCACTTATGTATTGTGATCAGGCAATCAAAAAACTCATCAGGGTTGGCTATAGCGAAGCTGCAACATATCTGTTGTAGATTTCTTTCGGCATTCTTTTTGCATGAGCGTGAGCTATTGCAGGACCCAGCTGGCAGCGACCTGCATTATGTGCAAATTATTGTTTGCATGAGGTGCGATCAAAAAGTTCCGAGACTGAATTTGTAGCGTGAGAAGAGACGGCAGCACAGTAATGCGCATGCAGCAGTTGAAGGCGGGGACCTTCGTGTCTCGTTACACCAATGAGCGTCGCTCTGCGAGTATTTGGAGCTGTGCTTCACGAGTTTTTGTGACCACGTGCATGGGCACAGTAGCGATTTCACCATAGACTGCAAACCAGAGCAAGAGCGAACATCAATTCTTTGTCAAACTCGGCAAATATAAAACGGAGATCTTTCAAAGGGTTTAGAGGCTTGTGTGGAAAAGCAGTGAATTTACAAAGTGTTTTAAGTGGCACTCACGCTTCGGGAACGGCAGAGCATCAGTGGAAGACGAGTAGTGGTAAGGCGACCTTATCCGACCTCGCCTTGACTTCAATGAAATTTTGTCATTCTTGAGGCACGAGCGCCACTCAAAACACCTTGCACGCCTCACTGCCTTTTTACATAAACCTTTTAAATTACTTGGCAGTGACTTTCAACATCCACTTTCAAATTTTTTATTATTACTTTGACATCCGTGACGACACTTCCTGAACACGTGACAACGGGCGTGTCACATCTGAAAGGGTAAAGTGTCGATCCGGTCCCACACACACACAAGCTGATCAAGACATTTCCACTGCCAACAAGGGCCGAATCTATTCGTGAAAACGCCAACACAACACCAACGATGCCATCAGAAACTAACCAGAACGAAACCGCAAAACTCTTGCTATGGCTGCTGCATTGAAAGGGGACGTTGAAATAATAGAGCCACTATTTCGGCGTTTTACAAACGTGACATCCCAGACGTCGATATGATTTTGGAGATTTGGACGGTGGACGTCGAAATAGTCACTACCAAATGCTTTCAGAGGTCTCTGTTTTAGATGTGTCCAATTAGACATAAAATTTATGTTCGCTTTCGCTTTGGTTTGCAGTCTATGAAGAGATTGCCAATATGTTCGTGCATGTGGTCAAACAAACTCGTGTAGCTTAGTTCCAAATGTTCAGAGCGACACCCTTTGGCATAACAGCGCAGAAAGGTGCCTGCCTTCGACTGCTGCATGCACATCACTGTGTTGTCCTCTCCTTCTACGCTAGAAAATCAGTCTCAGAATTTTCTTATCACACCTCATAATGTACCCATGACTAATGTAAGACGTTTTGAAATAGCTGAGCCTACAGGGATGTGTGCTTGCCTCTCTACACAGATTTATGGCACTATTCTCTTTGTTTTATGTATTTCAGATCTTTCGGGAATTCGAAAGGTTTGGAGGTGACGCGCCAATTCAGACTGTGACTGCGGTGGCGCAGCTACAGATGGCCACTGTGTTAGACGTGGCTGCCAAGAGGGTGGAGAAGGCCACCTGGGACATTCTGGAAAGGGTGGATACCTGCAGCACGGAGGATCAACATTGTAAGAGCACTATGTACGTTGACTCAATATAACTAAGTATTCATCATTCCATTGATTTTTATAATTAGTTCTTTTCTGCTTTGTTTTCATTGCAGTGATGACCACCCTGGCCTTTTTGGTGACTTTGCCAAGGACTGTAAGGGAGCAGACGTCCTCATTTATCAAGGACGTGGTAATGGAAACTTGTGCAAAGCTAGTCTGACAGCTACCTGTTTTTTTCTAATGTGGATTTGTGGACCACGTGGCGCAATTCCAATTCCAACATTCAATCTGATACTCAGAAAAAGCATGATACATCAAACACGCAAAGAAGTTTACTAAAGCGTAGTCGGTATTCAGCTCAGCTGTATGATCTGTCCTGTCCTTTCTCCGTTTGTGTCTTCGTGTTCAAGCTGACCCTTCACAGGCATACCATGCATGTGTATAGGATGGCTGCTTTGCTATGCAGTCATCACTACCACATTGTTCAGCTGCAGCTGGTCATTTAAATTCTGAATTTTCTAATAAATATCCAACCCCCCAAAGACAGATTTTTATGACTGTAGGGAAATGAGTTGTCACACTCCCCAGTTTCGTAATGCATGGCACCTTGTAGTTTGCCAGCAGCGATCTTGGGAAGGTTCAGTTTCTCAGTATAGAAGGGACAAACGGTATACCCCTTATACATAGAGCTGAGCATACTTTGGTAGTCGAGGTAGATGATATGAGACTTATTTAAAAGCGGTAGGGCGAGCTTTGGGCAAGAAATTGAAATTGTAATTGAACTATGCAAACAGCTCGACATGGATACGTTTTGGGACCAACAGATGTTTGCTTTTCTGGTTTCAGGCACCATGGTTCTCCAAACACCCCTCCGTGATCTGGAGTGGAGGGCTAGATGATGTCGGCCTCTGTATGGTGCAAGTGGAGGACCAACTCATCAAGGCTGACCACCCAGTGCATGCGATCCTGGTCGCATTCTGCCTGCACTGGGTGGCCGACATTTGCTACCAACCGGGAGCGAGAGGATTTTATGCTCTACTAGAGCACCTGCTGGGGCTGCAGGTCACTAAACCAACCACAATGGTCGTAACGCCACTGTCGGCAATGAAGGAAACCTTGAGAAAAAAAATAAAATCTCTTCGCCCGAGGGACAGTGCACACTTGAACTAACATTGTCTGTTTAATTTACGATGATATATGGTGGCAACATTTGATACCTCTGCCCCATATTCCCTCGAAGCATATTCTGAAAGAGGGAAGAAATACTTTGTGGGAAATTCTCTCCTCCATAGAAGTAGCAGTTTTTTTCTTTCGGGTGAAAGTTGGAGGGCATTTTCTATTGTGTAGCTGGAGCAATATTTCTCCAGCATTGGGATTAGGTGGCAATTTTCGTCCTATGCAGGTGGAGCATGCTTGTCTCCTCTAGCAAAAGTTTGTGGTAAATTTCTTCCTCAAAAGGGGGAGCCAATTTTCGCCCGAAAGAAAATAGGTCTTACATTTCTTCTTTTTGGAGAGGACCAAGTTTTTCTCCATTCACAAAAATGGGCAGCAAATTTCCTCCTTTTGTGGGGAGATGTAGGTGGGAATTTTCCTCCTTTCAGGGGGGAGGAAATTTCCGCCATGGCCTAACATAGAAGTGGGAATTTTCCACCTTTCAATGGGGAGGAAATTTCCTTTGTGCATATGATAGAGGTGGGAATATTCCTCCTCTCAAGGGAGAGGAAATTTTCTCCATGTCTATGATAGAGGTGGGAAGTTTTCTCCTTTCAAGAGGGAGAAAATTTCCTGCATGCCTAAGGTAGAGGTGGGAATTTTTCTCCTTTCAAGGGGGAGCAAATTTTCTCCATGTCTATGATAGAGGTGGGAATATTCCTCCTTTCAAGGGAGAGGAAATTTTCTCCATGCCTATCGTAGAGGTGGGAATTTTGCTCCTTTCAAGAGGGAGAAAATTCCCTCCATGCCTAGGACAGAGGTGGGAATTTTCCTCCTTTCAAGAGGGAGGAAATTCCCTCCATTCCTCAGATAGAGGTGGGAATTTACCTCCCTTCTGAGGGGAGCAAGATTCCTCCCTTCACTGTGGGAGGAATTTTCTTCCTTTAGGGTGGTAACATATTGGACATGCCAGTTCGTCCCTTAAGGGAGGAAGTACTACTCCCTTTTTTCTTAGAGTGTACGTTCAAAACGACCAGTATAAAAGACGGAAACGCAGAGCTCGGGAGTAGTGATCGGGTTAGTGTGCTGTTGTATTGATGTTTGAATGTGCGATGCATGTGTATGTATGGTCACGAGGGTAGAAAGTTGGGCGAGTTGGTGATTCATAGTGATTAAAACGCGCGACAGGACAACGGACGCAGAAGGAGTCACAGACACAGCGCTGCTAAAAAATGAACTTTATTTCCACTGCGGCTCGGTATATATTACCGGCAACAACACAAACAAGTTAGGAAGATATAAAATACACATCGTAAAAATATTTAAAAAAAAACAACATAAAAAGGCTAAAATTTTTGCATTACTGATCGGCCCCCTCCCGAAACTATAGTCATGCTTAGGTCAAGAAACTGCAATTCTTTCTCGGATAACGATAAAGAGGGTGCGCTGACACATTGCAGCCCTAATCTAGCAATTTCTCGAGCCTCGAGTATTTCCCTTGTGGTTTTGTTTCTTTTTTTTTTGTTTAGTACTGTGCAATCTCTGAAAATTGGAGTACAACCACGATCCCGGCAATGCACACCAAGGTGTCTTGATATGACGGTATCAACGCTGTAACGGTGTTCTCTGTTCGACCAGTCTGCCCCACGTAATTGGTAGATTAGGACTACAGTGTGTCAGCGCACCCTCTTTATCGTTATCCGAAAAATAATGGCAGTTTCTTGACCAAGTATGACTAGTCTCGGGTTGGTGCCGATGAGTTATGCAGGAATTTTAGCCTTTTTTATGTTGTTTTTTAAGATTTTTATGATGTGTATTTTATATCTTTTTACCTTGTCTGTGTTGTTGCCGGTATAATATACCGAGCCGCAGCGGAAATAAAGTTCAGTTGTAAGTAGCGCTGGGACTGTCTCCTTCTGTGTCCGTTGTCCTGTCGCGCTTTTTAATCATTATGTATGGAACAGTATGGTCAGCTGGTGCTTGTACTATGCGTAATGTGTCTACATGTGGGAATGGTAGAGGTTCCTGAAGCGCAATGATGGCGTGAGAAAATAAAAACATTTTTGTAGAGCATGAATTAGGCGGTACCTAGCGCCACCTAGCTTTGCTATTTGCGACTACTCTGCTTGACCCTGGCATCTGGTGGCAAGCGATTTAACCTCCTTTTACTCTACGCGGCTAGGCCATAGTTTCGTGTTACCGTGCTGAAATGAGCCAAGAGACTGCTTCGGATTTGCTTTTTTGAAAGCGGCTTTTGGTTTTGCGGGCGAATGGTTTACCACTCCTCCGTGATGTGCGGTTGAAACAACGGTTGACGAAGGAATTGTGGCTCGAGGAATAGCAAAGGTAAGATATAAAGTGCGCGAACTGGGTGCCGGTTGTCTGCGTTTAACATTGCAGTGCTGACGATGAGAAGACTGCATGCTTTCGAAACTTAAGTTTCTTTACCTGCAGGGGAAGCCGGCTTCGGAAATAAATACAGTTCGCGGAAATCTTGTGTTACGTTTTTATTTGCTGCTCCTCTCGCTCCGTACAATAGACTTAGTGTTCTAGTTAAGCCTTACTGAGCTCGATTTGCTCGATTCGTGGCCGCCATAATGAGATGCAGGCGACGGAGGAACTTTTGCTCCCCTGCTTAAGGGACGAAAGTTTCTCCCTTTCTGAATTAACATATGTGTCAAGAGCGTTCCTCCATTTAGGGAGCACTATATTGACCCTTTTTTTTCTAAGAGTGCACGCTCCATAGGCTCAAGCATATCGTCCCCCTCCAGCCATCCCGTCCATGACTTCCCAACCTTGTCGAGATTTTTCACGTACTTTCGAAGCACGGTTTCTTCGTCGCTATCGGGCATCACGCTGCGCCGTTCCCTGTCAAATCCACGAAGACAACGGAGGAACGAGCTGGGAGCATGCACCGGAGGAGTGCGCGAAGTGAAGATCTAAAAATAACAAAATAGCTCTATTTTGACGAAAGCCGGACATGACGTCACGGACGTCAAACTACTATGGCCGTGTTCTAAAATTTACTCGATCTTACTCCAGGGTAAGGGTTTTATACCTTGGCGTTCTAAAACCTACCCTCGTCCAGCATTTTTCAATCTGCACTCTAAAAAAAAGAAGGTGTCAAAGAAGAGTAAGTGCCCTAACTTACTCTACTTCAACTGTCTATTCATCAAAGTTACTCTTTCGCCACCGCTTCTTTCGATGATGCTCTCCTTTAACCCTCACTCGAACTCGAGAGTAACTGTACCGAGAGTTAGTTTCTCCTCGCGATATCACGGGCTGTCAACAGACGGCGCCGCTATGGGGTCGGCGCATGTTCGAGGCAGCTCGGCGGAGATGTCTTTTTTTTTTTTTTGTTGTTTTGCATTTTCCGGGGAAGTTTTTTTTTTCTCTACTTGTTTCTTTTTTTTTCTTTTTTTATTTTTTTTTGGGGGGGGGGGGGGTAGAAGATGGGCAAGGATGTTTTAATAAGTGAGTTGGTACAGCCTACCTTTATTTAATTTTGTCAACGCGCAATTCAAAAGTTTTTCTGCAAAACAAAACAAAAAAACAAGGTGCAGAATTTACAGGTGATTTTTTGCTGCTCCTTGGTGCATATGCGTCGCCAGCGATATGAGCTCATAGGAACCGCCAAATGGGGCCGCCGATGTCCGCTTCTATGCATCGCCCTCCCGTCGCGCCCAAACGCATGGGACTTCTCTCTTTAGATTATTATAGTTGACTCTATGATCTTGACAAAAAAGCTTCGTACACTAACTACGGGTTTATGGACTGCACTTCATGTCAGGTGAAGAACATATTTTGCCTCCATCATGTCGCCAAGGCACTGACAGTAGACGGCAGTGTTGGTTTTGACCTATAGTTTAGCCGGAAGTGAAGTCAGCTGCAACAAACCTATACTTAGAAGCGTAAGAAAAACAAACAACCGAGCTGAAAGAGGTATAGTAGTGCAAACTAGGAGCGCTACTGCCAAAATAATTTTATTTGGAAAACACGAACATATTTACATACCAGTGGCGTAGCCAGGGGACCGGGGGGGGGGGGGGGGGGGGGGTTAGGGGTCGGAACATTCCCGAAATTTCATGGTTGTCCTCTTTACCCCTTCCCCCTTTCCAATGTCAGTATAATTTTTTTGGGTGTGTTTCGTCTCGACAATCCACTACGGCGAGGGGCTGTGCCCACAACATACCGAAGCAAAACGAAGACGACGCTGTCCGTGGACTGTTGGAAAAATGCACCTCCGGCTCCGGCTCTTGGAACAGCTCTCTCCAAACTTGGCCATGTTAGTAACCAAAGCCTTTCTTCAGGCTCGCAGGTGCGAATGGCTTTGTTCCCGACGTCACAAAAGCCGCGAAACCCTGACCTCGAAGGACGCTGGCCTCGCCTCGACGAATGCAGGCGGCTTAACTAAAGTTCCCCTAGCCTTTGAGTGTCGAGGACTCGACGAGCAGCGCAACAAGCAGGGCAGCGCAACAAAACTCCAAAATAGCAATACTCTGACATTACGAAGCCTACAATGAGGAGAAAACCGGACGACAAAATAACTAACAACCTAGCGGTATTTTTTCTTTCTTTTTTTGTCTTGTCTTTTTTTAGGGTTTACTCGCCTCTACTTATTTAGCTTCAATGATACACAAACAAAAATGCAAAAAAATACACTCAAAAACATCCTCATCATTGAAAAAGAAAAGAAGCAAGAGAGAAAAGCGACAGCATATGCACTGTTGAAGCAACTTTGGAATGCTTGTAATCATTTGGTTTCAAAGCGTACCCAGTTGACTTATTTAATCGCTGAAGTGGGTAATGTTTACATGCTTGCGTTCAGCACGTGAGTCGTGCAACTTCCTCTACGTATATAGACTTTCAAAAGTGAGTTCAAGAGCCAAGCAATTTTTTTAATTTCTTTAAGAATGATTATTGACCTACAACTTCAAGCGTGTCATCCACGTCTCCGACAGAACCAGCAGATTCACGCCAGGCAGCATTATCCGCCCTAGGCGACAGTGATGTTGTGG